CGATCATTCGAATGCATCCTGGACACTACAGAAAATGGGCTAAAAGTGTTAAAAACCGGAATTTTCCTTTAAGCACAGAAAACCTACATTTTGGTTTCAGGAATAGATAGTTGAGGCCTGATCTTCTTAAGGATCTATACTCCTGTAGCTCTGTGCTGGGTCTCTGTTACTGAATGAGCTTAATGATTTTTAACAACATGGGAATTAAAACACCTGACGGCAACCAATTAGCTGATGGCATGCATCCCAGCACAACCACACAGCAGAGCTGTTGCTTCCTCCCTAAGAGTCTAAGCAACTCATCTTTAAAGAGCCAGGCATCTCACTTCAACACAAATCTTTAATTTAATTACAAAAAAACTAGAAAACCAGCAAACCAAAAAGTTCAGATGGAAAATATTGCAAATAGATGCCTCACTACCCAGGTTTGTGGAAATAACTGTTGAAAAAAGTGCATTTTGCATTTTTTGTTCTTTGTGCGTTCCATAAGTGAATCATTGTGTCTGAAAAGCATGTGCTGTTTCTTGTTGCAGTCTGGCATCAATGATAGTGCCGAGTTCAAAGGAGTAGCAGATGCCATGAAAGTGATTGGCTTCACAGGCGATGAGATTCAGACTGTTTACAAGATCCTGGCCACCATCCTGCATCTGGTAATGCACACAGAACCTGAACCCTGTCTGTTTTTTTGTTGTTGTTTTTTTTACATTTGTTGAAAGAAAATCAGGACTTTTCCAACATACTGAATGTTTGTTAGTTTTTCCAGGGTTTTTTATTCTCCTTAAAGGCTAAATGTTGTTCTTTCCTTTTCATAAAAGTCAGACTTTGGCATTATAATTTTGTAGGCTTTAATATCTTAAATGACCTACTTAAATATGACTAAAAGTACCAACAGAATAAAGAGCCCTTTATTTAAGTTATTCTTTCTTCTTAACCTTTAAACACCTCTTAATTCAATGATTACAAGCAAATAAATGACCCATAAAATTAATGCAGTTTTTACTATTAGCTGTAAAATAGTTTAATGTAATAAAGTTATCTGTAAAGTTTTAAACTGAAAAGCTGTAATGGGAGGTTTTAACAATGTATGCATAGGTTTAAAATGAGTAAAACATTTATCTGGAAAATTTAACATTTTATGTAGTTTGTAATGCAGTCAATTATATGGAAAAAACTGTGTTTTACTGCCAGTTGATTAAAATACCTATTACTGTAATGGAGTCATTTTTGAGGTCATCAAAGTTTTGTTTTAAATTTTAAAGTAACACTGACTGATTTAATCTAAAAGGGGGGGAATGCAGCCATGTTTTTACTAATAGTTCCATGACTCTTCAATCTGCTTATCAAAACTGGTCTGCTAGCAGATTCCTAAAAAACCAAGGGAGACTTTTTAGGACAGTGAAGTGTAACTAGGGGCTTAACCTGGAAGTTACAAGTCATGCGCCCTCTGGTGGTCAAAAGTCTTCTTTTAAGACATGAGCTGCTCAAAGTGAGATATTTGTTCACTTGTAACGCTTCTGACTTGTGGAAATTGAAATAGGGAAGATTATGGATTTTCTTTTGTTAGAAGTTTTTCCATGATGGGAGTAAAACCTTTAAAAAAGGTTACTGCATTGTCAGCTAGCTACCCACTAACCCAGGTTTTTTTTTTAATGGTATTTTGCTTTGGTTATAATGTAAAGTAATTTTAACTAAGAATTACTGGTGAAATTTGGGTATTTTACTCAAACACTCACATATCACTGCCTCAAACATTTATTGTGGCAATGGTAGCCACTGTGTGTCATAAACCCTTGACAACGCAGATGTAATCATGTCATGCAAAGTGAAGTGAAAACAGAGAGCGTTCATCACAGCTTTGAAAGCTGCTAAACCCACATAACCATATAATTCTCTACCAACAAGATTATGTGTTGACAGGATCTACCGTTATACTTTCTGTGATAACGAGCAACACTAATTTAAAATTAATGGAAAGAGTTAGCTAATTAAGGATTCACTTATCTGTCAAGGAGAAACATGGCGTCCCTTTTTAAAATCTTTCTCTGCTTCTTCCACCTGGAGAAGGCTTGTTATTTTTTTTTTCCCTTAAATGTATCTGGTTTTATAGTCTTTAAATTACATTTTTCGGTTTCTTGAGGATGGCGAAACCGTTTTCTGCCCTGCTGCTGCATACAGGGGCGGATTTAGGAAATTTGGGGCCCTAGGCAAAGACATGCAGGGGGCCCTCTGAATTGAGAAGACAACACATAAAACAGACCCATTATACAGGTACAAAAGTTTTTATAGAATAGACATCCATTATTTGACATCCAGGAACTTTGAGCCCTAGCAATAGGGGGTTTTCAGTGACGTCATTGGCCAGCTCCCGGTCCACCATCTTGGGTGGCATATTATCCTATATCACATATATATTTTCACGAATGGATAAGTACGCCAGCACGCTAGAGCCACCAGATCATGGAACATATCTAAAGAAATGTTCCGTGATCGATCATATGGACCCCTATGCCCTCCACGGTGCCTTGTTTAGCACTGACCCAGATGATTGGCCAAATGTAGAGCACGGCGACATAGTTCATTACCCGGTGTTCAGTGAAAACCCTCTGCACACTCTGGAGGAAATGAGAGCGTACAAGGGTCTAGA